CCACTGTCCACAACTGGTTTGATCCAGTAAACCCAACTTAAAACCCAACTTAAAACACTCAAGCGCTTTTCTACTTCAAAGTCCCAATGTCTCTCATATTCCTCCAAAAACAGCATAATCAGGCCTACGACAGTAAAACCTCACTCCTTGTACCAACTTTTGTCTTAATGACTATTGTATTGCTGTGAAGAGGCAGCACAACCAAGGCAACTCTTATGAAAGAAAGTATTTATTTGGGGACTTGCTTACAGTTTCAGGGGTTAGTCCATTATCAGTTTGACAGGGAGCGTAAGTGGCACATAGGCAGGCATGGTGCTAGAGAAGTAGCTGAAAACTTTACATCTTTTTTTTTTTTTGGTTTTACGAGACAGGCTTTCTCTGTATTGTTTTGGAGGCTGTCGGTCCAGCCCGGCCTCGAACTCACAGAGATCCGCCTGCCTCTGCCTCCCGAGTGCTGGGATTAAAGGTGTGCGCCGCCACCACCCAGCTGAGAACTTTACATCTTGACCTTGAGTAATATGCAGGGAAAGACACTTAGCCTGGTATAGGCCTTTGAGACCTCAAAGCCCACCCCCAGTGACAGACCTCCTCCAACTAGGTTATACCAGGTTCAACAACACAATATCTCCTAATCCTTCTAGTCCTTCTCAAACAGTTCATTAACTAACTGGGTGGGGGCTAAGAATGCAAATATATGAGCCTATAGGCCCCATTTTCATTCAAACCACCACATATACTAAAGTAAATATGCAAATACCAGTATATTAAAATCTTTTTAAAAGAAAAAGAAGACCTTGGGAAATGACTCAGTGAGTAGAACACTTACCATGCAAGCATGAGAAGTTGGGTTTGAACCACTGTAACCTGTATAGAGTTAGGTAAAGTAGCATGGTATCTTTATTACCCCTGCTCTAAGGGTGTGGTGGGAGCTGAAGATCAGAAAATTCCAGGAACCTTGCAAACCAGCCAGGGTGATAGAAACAGTGGTGGTCAACAAGAGACATTGTCTCAAACCAGGTAGAAGACAAGGATGGACACCTGAGGTTTGCTTCTGACTGCCATGCTTACATACTCACTCTCAAACTTTTTTCTTTAATTACACATCAGATACTGCTCATAAACAGCAGGATGGTACCATGCCATTAAAGATATTTCTCCCAAGGTCCTTCTGTATATAGTACTTCTTCTCCCTTTAAATTTCATATGCTAAAGACCAGAGTAGAATAATACAGGATCTGGGAGTGCTGTTTCGTGGTAGGGTACTTGTCTATTTTGAGTTCAATCCTCAGTATGGAAAAATAATTCTGCGCTAACATGGTATCTTAAAAAAATGTAATATCTTTAAAATTTCTTTCTTTTACTTCTTTCTTTTCATCACTTAACCCTTATTCTTTGCCACCCCTCAAACTCTTCATTATTGCTGCTGATTTTATCATCCTTTTATTTGTTGAGCCCTTGTTCTTTTACCTATTCTGCTATTGCTGCTGTATGTAGTCTTCCCTGTTGGAGTGATCCACCTGTCCTTAGAGTATCTATGGGTCAAGTAAGGAGAGGAAAGTCCCTCCAGACACTGCCCCTCCCTTTTCCTAAGCTCGTCACACAGCACAACACAAGAATGTAGAGCCTGAGTCCACAAAAAGAGAGGGGTTGGAATCCTTTATCTTTGGCTTTCTGTATAACCTTTTTTTGCTTTCTTACTTTGTTCTATTTTATTTAAACAGAGAACGGACATTCTTTGAAGTCTCTCATGACTACTACAGATGAACCCAATGTACCAACTTCCCAACAGACTATAGAGTATTAGAAGATGTTTACAGTTTGAAGGAGGGAAGCAAACCTAAACTATGTCTGAATTACTAAGAACTAACATGATGAGCTTAATAGAGACGTGGACATTTGTGGCCACTATATGAGTTTGATGTAGTTCAGTTGGGGCATATGCTTAATTATCAGGGCATTTAAAGTTTGAAATTAATATTCATGGTTTCTGCTTTCTAGTTTTTATTTTTCTGGTCATCAGATGTTAATGGTGTGACTGTTGCTGTCAGAACATATTCTGTTACCAAACATGGTAGAAATATGGTAGAAATTGCTGTACCAAAGTGAACTCTAATAGGCAACTTCTAACGTACAGCCTTGTAAAAGCTCCACATACAAACTGCAGAGAAGGTATTTAGTTTCTGTTTCTATGTGTGAAAGCTTCCATATTAGATTTTTTATAGGCACTTACAGACTGATAAATTTCAAGTTCTCTCAAATAACATGGTTTTTGTGCACCAAACTTGATTCAACCTAGGAATTTTAGTTTTCTATAGTCTTGAACATGGCTTAAGCTCTGAATCTTTTTTTAGTTCAAAGAGAGCAAGAAGTTGTGGGTTTTGATGATCACAGACCAATAGAAGCTATGCTTCATATTAGGATAACCTCACACACTCAGGCCAGATTGTCCAGAGCAGAAGAGAGTACCAATCTCCATGAATCTATTTCATTTCCATGGAATGAGCCAAGACTTCTGGCAGGCAGGGACGTGTTCAGGAAAGGGAGATTATCTGGAGTTTTACAAATAGTTCATGGTAAGGACAGGGCTTTTCTCCCTGAAAAACAGATTCCTTGTCTGTTTCATGTTAATAGAGTATAGGCTTTATTGCTTATATTCAAACTAAACAAAATTGATGAACACAAAAAACATTCACATTTAAAATACATGGGCCACTTAGATGTGATTGGTAATTTTATTTGGATGTCTAAAGAAAATTAAGACACTAGGAGGGTGTACCCCCTATTCTTTTATTTGCTATTAATAGATATCATTGCAATATAATGTCCAGCTGTGAACTTATGAAAGGTTATTATTCAATTCTTATATCATGGAGTGAAATATGATTTTTTGTTTTTAGGTTTTCTGAGACAGGGTTTCTCTGCAGCTTTGGAGGCTGTCCTGGAACTCATTCTGTAGACCAGGCTGGCCTCAAACTCACAGAGATCCACCTGCCTCTGTTTCCCAAGTGCTGGGATTAAAGGCATGTGCCACCAATGCCCGACAAAAATACTTTTACAACATTCTGTGACCACTGATAATATATAGTTCAGTAATGTGTAGTAAAAACATTTATTATTGAAACCTTCCACATGGATGCTTTTTAAGATGGCCATGATTTGTTCATAAAGAAGCTTCAGGGCCCATGGAGTACATGAAACAGATCATTTGAATAACACACATGAGCTCAACTGCATGCTGTGTTTCTTTTTTTCCATACTGGTAGAAAGAAGATAATGAAATGAATGGATTAGTGTTAAGCTGATTTCAACTTTTAGAACAATTTAGTGATATAAATAGTAGAAATATTAGGGGAAAAATAAAATGTTTGAAGGAAGTCACAAATGTATTTCTGTTAGAAACAATGTGGGAGTAGGATCAATTTTCTCATCATGTCATTTTTTAACAGTACTTGCCATTCAGTATTTTAACAATTACATAGGTCTATGCCATTATTATATTCAGTGTTCGATATATTTATTCCTCTATTGTTAAATCACTAACATGCTTCAGTTAAGAGTTGGCAACTGCTGTGTTTTTATATGGCATATTCTTGCCATTGTGAAGAACATTTGAGTATACTGCTATCTCAGGCAATAACTCAGAATTCATTTCATTAGCTTAAAAAACTATAACATACAAATGCTAAATTACATGTATGATCTATGAACCGAACATATTTTCTGTTTAGTTGTGTTAACTATTCGATTTGATGTATCTGCAGTATTTCTTTATTTTGCATTTTAATTTTAAGTTTACATTGTTTGTACTGAGCTTTTTGCATGCAGATTTTTGATGTATAGCTGCTTGGCAGGATTTCATTGTTATGTAACCATTATTCTTATAAAAAGACATGCTGTACATTTGTCTTGTGTGTTTGTCTTCATTCCATGTGTTCCATAGGATATGTCTTTACACGAAGTTATGTATAAAGAATAACAGTTTTCAAGTCTATCAATGTCTCTTTCACCATCATTATCTTCAGCAAGTAAGTGCCATCAGTTGTTACTTTCAGTTAACCTCAAGTGGATTCTCACCATGATGAGAGGTAGGTATGTGTGGTGATATTTTGTTTGTGCAAATAAAGCGTGTCTGAAGATCAGAGACATGAAGGAGCAAGCCACAGCCACACCTACCTTGCCAACTTCCCAGCTGAAAAGAGAGGGAGTTTCATTTTCTCCTTCCTATAATCCTTTCTCCACCCAGCCACCTCACTTCCTGTCTGTCTGTAAAGACCTCCAGACCGCTATGGTTAGCTAGTGGCAAGGTCCACCCTCTGACCTTCAGGCACACTTTATTTGTACAAACAAGATATCACCACAGCTGTGTTAAGACAGTCAGTTGTTTTACCTTTGCATCTTATCCTGTGGTGTAAAGCCGTCATTGCTACTAGCTTTGGAAAACTTGTTTTGTTCCTTCTGTTGTATTCCAACCTGATTTTTGTTTGCTTGCTTGTTCTAATACTTAAAGATTAACTTTTCATTTTGTGACTTTTACTATAAAATAGAATGACTTTTTCAGAAGTCATTTTGCGGAAATTACCATAAAATATAATGAATGTAAAACTAGAGTGACTAGTATAAAATAGGATGACTTTTTCAGAAGAGAGTACTTTCCAGTCACAGTACCCAATCTCCATGGAGGGCTAAGCATTTGCTGGTATGGCTCACTTACTTGTAGCCATGACCACGATCAAGTATCCAATTCATTTTTACCCATGAAGAGAGATTTGTGTTTATTTTTGTAGCATTTGAAAAATGCAAGTCTGAGTCTTTCTTGTCTGACTTTGAAAAGCTTAGACTGTCTCTCCCTTCTGATTATTGGTATTTCAAGTTTTCAGCCCCAAAGGGTGTCATTTGTGGTCGACTGATGTCCCTTGTTTTTAACCTTGTAGCCTGGCCTTTCTGCAAGTGTGATAAAAAGTTGTAGCATCCTGAGCATTTAAATGTGTCTTTTCTTTTAGCCTGAAACATTTGAGCATCTTTTTACCAAGCATGCAGAATCAGTGATATTTGGTCCTCTTCTTCTGGAGCCTGAACCCATTTCAGAAGAAATCAGTGTCGATACGGCTTGGAAAAATAAAGATGAGATGGTACCAGCAGCTATGGTCTCGCTTCTTTTGACCACTCCAGACCCTGAAAGGGGATCTATTTGTATTAGTGACCAGTGTAGCAGTGCTACCTTCTCTGGGGCTCCAAGCATCCAGGTAACCTGTGAGGATGAGTGTCAGAGACAACCCTCAGTTAAATATGCAACTCTGGTCAGTCACTCAAAGACAGCAGAAACTGATGAAGAGCAAGGGCTTCCACATAGTTCTGTCAGCAAGTGCATCGCCAGTGGACACTCCCCGCTGGGAGAGTCTTTCCCTGGCAGCTCCTGGGAGATAGAGGCCCAGGCGTTTTTCCTATTATCTGATCAGCAAACCAACACGATTTCACCACAACTTTCATTTCCAGGGTTGGATGAGCTTTTGGAGCTGGAAGGAAATTTCCCTGAAGAAAATCAAAGTGTAAAGTCTGTCTATTATTTAGGGGTTACCTCCATCAAAAAAAGAGAGAATGATATGTTTTTGACTGATGAGTCAGGAGTATTGTGCCCATTCCCAGGCCACTGTCTGTTTAGTGACATCAGAATCCTCCAGGACAGTTGCTCACACTTTGTAGAAAATAATTTGAATTTAGGAACCTCTGCTAAGAAGACCTTTGTACCTTACATGCCACAATTTCAAACCTGTTCCACTCACAGTCATAAGATAATGGAGAATAAGCTGTGTGACCTCACTGTGTAATCTCATTCAAGAAGCCTCCAGTTTTGTGTTCCAGTAGAGCGTATCTATGTGTAATATATTCTCTTAATGTTGTGGGTGTGGGAGACAAGTGTCAGATTCTAGTTTGAAAATGAATGTTTCCAAATTAATTGTGTCTATCTTCTCTCAGTAATACAAAACATATAAGGAAGCCTTCTTGAGTATAGCGATATAGATGGACTCTTATTGAATACACTGCCAAGCCATCACGGGGAGGTCTCTTTATTTCTAGCTAATAATAAGCCCAGGAAGTAGGATTTCTCTAAACATCTAGCCTCTGTGGAAAGAATAAATTCCAACATTATATCGTCACCTGAAAGGAAGTCTTCAAACTAAGATCCCTAAGATATAATTGTTTGTCTTACCTTGAATCGTCTTGTGTTGTGCAATTTTAAACTGACTAGGTATCCTTGTGTGCTTTGGAAGTATGTGACATGCTTGTACTTTGTGCTGCCTGACTGTATTATTTGAAGTATCACTCCATTAAATGTTGACTATAAGCAGAGACTTGAACCCTACTCTAAGAAGTTACACTTTTGAAGAGGGTCAGGTTAGCTGATCCTTTTGCAACAAAGCCAGAACCCATGACAGAAGATGAAAGCAACTGTTAGAATGACAGTTTCATCACCAGTGCTTTGATGACAGCGTGAGCAGCTTTGAGAACAAGATGCCAGCCTTGACTAAAGTTCACTGAAGCGATTATTTTCTGATACATTGCCAAATGTCACTTCATGGCCCTCTAGAATCCCTCCCCATCTCTTCTGGGATGCTATTTCTCCCCCCTGAGTATCATTACATAAAATAACCACTGGGCTTTACAGGTTGCATACTTGCTTGCTGCAATCATTGTTCGAGGAGCATGCTACACATTCCCATTGTATAATTATCCCCTGTCAAGGATGAGGCAATAATTAAGTCTTTTGCCCAAAGTCCCAGACTTAATGATTGATGGAACCAGAATTCAGATTAGTTCACATCATTTTAATACTATTGATTGAATCTTAAACCCAGCTCTTACATTGCCATGTTTTAAAATTAAAACAACTGATACTATCAAGGAAGACCCAGTGAGAGGAAACAGGGTGATGGGTGAATAATTGAGACCTAGTCTTGTTGAAAATTGGTATGAGGTTGGACTTGAAAATCGATGTGGGTATGTATTATTTATTCCATCGTTTGATATAGCAGGATGATTCAAATACATCTTAGAAAACAAGAAATTAGGTTAAAAAAAACCCCACACATTCAGGTGTTCAATGTCAAGAAGAATTCCTAAAATATCAGTATCATACAGGGAATGCCATTGTGTTCAACAGTATGCGTATGTATGGCCAAACACCATCAGCATTTCATACTTACCTGAGACTGGGTTGTTGATTTCACCATTCACTTAAGTAGATCCCGCCATGCCATCTCTACCTCCAATTAGAGCTTTATGGATGAGCAGGTCTAAGTGTTAAGAGAGACCCTGATCCTAATTATATTTTTCCAGGCTTTGTGTTCAGTGAAGCCATCATATGACTTGAGTTAGTAAGAAGGTTCAGGATCTCACCATCAGCTGATACTGGTTTTATCATGTGAAGATAGAAGATAAAAGAACACTAATTGCTGTTCTCTGTAATGACACGGGAAAAGTTTTGTTTCCACTGGTGTTCAGTAACAAATTATTACATGTTGAAATCGACCTGTCTATCGCTTTTAATATTTGCCTATTGGGTAGAGCCTATTAATTGTAGGTACAGTATAGAAGACATGGGAAATTTAAACTGGAGATTACCCACTGAGCACATCCACTGTAATGGCATGGGCTTGGGCTTTCTGGGCCCAGAACAGTGTGTAAGAGAAACCGATGGACATTTTAATCAGGTCAGGAGTGAATCTTGTGTGACAGCCATGGTGAATTCACCAATCATTGGTCAATAAGATACTGCAGTTTTAAGATAGAGACATCTAAGCCGGGCGGTGGTGGCGCACGCCTTTAATCCCAGCACTCGGGAGGCAGAGGCAGGCAGATTTCTGTGCGTTCGAGGCCAGGCTGGACCGAGAGCCTCCGAAACAATACAGAGAAACCCTGTCTCGTAAAAACCAAAAAAAAAAAAAAAAAAAAAAAAAAGATAGAGACATCTAGGGACAGCATGTGAATGGGAGCTCATTTTTCTGTGCTGAGGTGAGTTTGCTTCTAAAAACAGAAATTGCATCAGAGAGACTGACTGACATCTGCAGCCCCAGTCAGAACAGAGGCTGAACTGCAGGCTTTGGCCCGCAGGATAAGACCAAGTTTATTGCCAGCGACTTAGATCCCGACTGCCACTAGCAAAAGTTTCTTAGTTTTTGTTTGTTTGTTTAGTTTTTTGTTGGTTTTTGTTTCTTGAGACAGGGTTTCTCTGTGTAGCCTGTCTTGGAATACTTTATAGACCAGGCTGGCCCCGAACTCACAGAGGTTCACTTGCCTCTGCCTCCCGAGTGCTGGGATTACAAGCTAGCACCACCACCACCCAACCCACTTGTGAAAGTAAATTTCATTATTGCTACAAGTTAGTCATTGGGTCTTTGTGATAAAGTTCCTCAGACAGAGGGAGAGCCTGGATTTGGGGTTGGGATTTCTACCCTTAGTCTTGACAGTTCTACAATTCTTCTCATCTTTTTCCAGTAAAATTAACCCCTTTCTCGCAAATGTCAAACCTATGTTTACATTCCTCCTGTAGTGGTGACTTTAGCTACCCAGAGCTGTGGGAAAATAAGCTTTGGGCTATAAGAACTGACAGGTGTGCACACAGAGAGCATTGGTGGCATCCTGCTGAATGGAGAACTACTGCATCTACACCTCTATGTCACTTCCAGGGGATGTGAGACACGTCTAGAATCTGGTGATCTGAAGAAGATCTTTATCTTTGTTCATCTTCCGAGACTCATCTTGACAGTCATTTTAACCAACATTCTGAAGTAATTCCTGAGGAAACCCAGCCTCAAACTTTAAAGCACATAATTGAAGTGGCCCACTGTAGAGTGATGAAGCTGAGACTGCATGTGAGAAAGGCCTCAGTCTGGTTACACAGCATGTGAGGGGCCCTTTGTGAGGGGGATGTAACCCAGTCAGGAACTTTTACTCCCTTGAGCCTCTGGTTTGAAATAGTAAAGTGCTTCTGCACTCATCATCAGTGGTGAGTGAGCCACTTAAAACACAACTGGTTACAACTGAGACACCCATCGTGACATGCATTTGTATGAGCCGAAGAAACAGATTCCATAGATGGCGTTTATAGTGAATGAATTATTTTTATATGAAATTGATCAACATTTATTTTGGAAAGTTGCTTCTGAAAATGTCTATTTTTCAAAATACACTGAGTATGAGTAACTCTAAATTTAATCTTATAAAGATCTATGTGGCTTTGTTGTAAGTAAAACATTATTTTAAAAAACGACCTGAGGATGAAGTTGAAAGATGTTTAATTTTGTAGTGAGATTTGTATATTGTACATCTCCTACTTTTGGAACTTGTGTGTAAGTACTGGGCAAGGAAATCTTTCTGTTTCATGACAATTTGTGTGATAATAAATGTTTTAAACCTAAGCCTTGAGATATGGATCTCTAATTGTGTTATATAGAATTACCCTGCTTCTCTTATAAGTTCTAAAAGGTCTAAACCTTACCATTGTAAAGTCATGTGGTCACAATTTTCATCTTTCTATCATGCAGAATCAGTGTTAGGATTCTGAGAGGTGAGAGTGAAAGATAATTGTTGTGGACTTAAGTTATTTGACTATTTTATCCATAACCTTATAGTTTATATAAATAGTTAATATAAAGTTTCTATCTGATGTCAGCCTTTGAATGTACTTCAGGATTTCTGTGAACAAGTGCCTTACTTCTGGTGGGAGTCTGGAAACTCCAAGATCTAAGAGCCTCTTCGGGGCTCCTGAGTCCCACTTACACAGATGCACACTGGGCTCTGGCAGCATTGCTGCCACCGCTGATGAAAGATGATCTGCTGTAGTCCATAAGAAAGATTACCCATCTTAGCCCGTGAGAGCTCTTTGTTTGGGATCTCACTCTTTTATTGTAATGACTCATGATCATGTTTTGTTAGGCATCTAGAAATTTGCAGGGTTTTTTTTCTTTTTGATTTTTCAAGACAGGGTTTCTCTATATTGTTTTGGAGGCTGTCTTGGAACCTGCTCTATAGACCAGGCTGGCCTCCAACTCACAGAGATCTGCCTGCTTCTGCCTCCTGAGTGCTAGGATTAAAGATATGTGCTACAAACGCCCGGCCAGGAAAACTTTCAAATAGAGAACTATGATAAAGAGTATGGGCTCCCGTAGACTCTCAGTCAGCAGTTACAGGTTCCCAAACCACAGCACTTATCACTACACTGTGGCACTATTGTCCTTCCAGGGAAGGGATCAAACCTAGTGGTTTGCTCATGCTAGGCAAGTGCTTTTGCACTGAGATCTATTCTCAGCCCCACCATGTGTCTTTAAGTTTAATATAAGTAGGATCACTGTGTAACTATACTACTATGCTGATATCCTTTTTTTTTTTTTTGGTTTTTACGAGACAGGGTTTCTCTCTATTGTTTTGGAGGCTGTTGGTTCAGCCCTGCTATACTTTTTTTTAAATTTAAATTTAGATTAGAAACAAGGTTGCTTCACAAGTCAGTTCCAGGTCCCTCTCCCTTTCCCTCTCCTCCTCCCTTTCCCTCCACCAACACCCCATATCCCTTCATTTCCCCAGGGAGGGTGAGGCCCTCCTTGGGGGTGTCCATTTCTGTCATTTATTCCAGGGCAGAGCCTAGACCCTCCCCCAAGAGTTCAGGGTGAGAGTGCATCTCACAGTGTTGGATGGGAGTCCAAAGTCCATGTGTACACTCGGGATAAATACTGATCCACTGCCCAAGGCTCAATACATTACCTAGGCCTTCTCACTGACACCCATATTCAGGGTGTCTTGATCAGGTCCATGCTGGATTCCCAGGCATCAGCCTGGGATTCAAGAGTTAACCCTTGTCAGGTCAGCTGTTTCTGGAGGTAAAACCAGCCCAGTCTTAATCCTTTTGGTAATCAGTCCTCCCTCTCTGTTACTGGCTTTCTTGAGTTCAGCTCAGTGCTTAGCCCTGGGAGTCTGCCTCTTCTTCCATCAGCCACTGAATGAAGTTTCTGTTTCCCAGACTCTCTGGCCATGGGATTGTAGGCTGGCTCTCCCCAGGTCTATGTCTAAAATCCATATATGAGAGAGTACATGCCATGTTTCTGTTTTTGTGACTGCATTACCTCACTCAGGATGGTTTTTCTCGTGTCATCCATTTGCCTGCAAATCTCAGGATTCCATTGTTTTTTTTTCTGTTGAATAGTACTCCATTGTGTAAATGTACCGCATTTTCTCTATCCACTCTTTGGTTGAGGGGCATCTAGGTTGCTTCCAAGTTCTGGCTATTACTAATAATGCTGCTATGAACATAGTGGAACAGACATCCTTGTTGTATGAATGGGCATCTTTTGGATATATGCCTAAGAGTGAAGTTTCTGGGTCTTGTGGTAGGTTTATTCCCATTTTTCTGAGGAATCTCCATACTGATTTCCAAAGTGGCTGAACCAGTTGGCACTCCCACCAGCAATGGAGGAATGTTCCCCTTTCACCACATCCTCTCCAGCATAAATTGTCTTTGGTGTTTTTGATTTTAGCCATTCTGACAGGAGTGAGATGGTATCTCAGAGTTGTTTTGATTTGCAATTCCCGGATGGCTAAGGATGTTGAGCACTTTCTCAAGTGCCTCTCAGCCATTTTAGATTCCTGTATTGAAAATTCTCTATTTTGTTCTGCAGCCCACTTTTTACTTGGATCCTTTGGTGTTTTGGAGACCTGCTTCTTGAGTTCTTTGTAAATTGTGGAGTTTAACCCTCTGTCAGATGTAGGGTTAGTGAATATTTTTCCCATTCTGTGGGCTGCCTTTTTGTCTTGCTGACCGTGTCCTTTGCCTTACAGAAGCTTCTCAGTTTCAGTAGGTCCCATTTATTAATTGTGGATCTCACTGTCTGTGTTACTGGTGTTATGTTCAGGATGCTGTCTCCTGTACCAATTCGTTCAAGGGTACCGCCCACTTTCTCTTCTATGAGGTTCAGTGTGGCTGGATTTATGTTGAGGTCTTTGATCCATTTGGACTTAAGTTTTGTGCATGTCGATAAACAAGGATGGATTCACATTCTTCTACATGCCAGCCTCTAGTTATGCCAGAACCATTTGTTGAAAATGCCTTCTTTATTCCATTGTGTATTTTTAGCTAATTTGTCAAAGATCAGATGTTCATATATGTGTGGGTTAGTATCCGGGTTTTCAATTCGATTCCATTGATCTACCTGTCTATTTTTGTGCCAATAACAATCTGTTTTCAGGACTATAGCTCTATAATAGAGCTTGAGGTCAGGGATGGTGATGACTCTGGAGGTTGCCTTGTTGAACAGGGTTGTTTTGGCTATCCTGGGTCTTTTGTTTTTCCATACAAAATTGATTATTGTTCTTTCAAGATCTGTGAAGAATTGTGATGGGATTTTAATGGGGATTGCATTGAATCTGTAGACTGCTTTTGGCAGGATTGCCATTTTTACTACATTGATCCTACCTATCCAAGAGGATGGGAGATCTTTCCATTTTCTGAGGGCTTCTTTAATTTCTTTCTTTAAAGATTCAAAGTTCTTGCGATACAGGTCTTTCACTTGTTTGGTTAGCCTTACCCCAAGGTATTTTATTTTGTTTGTGGCAATTGTAAAGGGTGATGTTTCTCTGATTTCTTTCTAAGCCCTTTTATCATCTGTATATAGTAGGGCTACTGATTTTTTTGAGTTGATCTTGTAGCCTGCCACTGTGCTGAAGGTGTTAATCAGCTGTAAGAGTTCCCTGGTAGAGTTCTTTGGGTCATTGATGTAAACTATCATATCATCTGCAAACAGTGAAAGTTTGACCTCTTCCTTCCCAATTTGTATCCCCTTGAACCCCTTTGTTGTTGTATGGCAATGGCTAGAACTTCCAGTACCATGTTGAAAAGATATGGAGAGAGGGGACAGCCTTGTTTTGTTCCTGATTTTAGAGGAATTGCATTGAGTTTCTGTCCATTTAGTTTGATATTGGCTGTTGGTTTACTGTATATAGCTTTTATTATGTTTAAGGATGTCCCTGTTATCCCATATCTTTCCACGACCTTTATCATGAAGGGGTGTTGGATTTTATCAAAGGCCTTTTCAGCATCTAGTGAGATGATCATGTGATTTTTGTTTTTCAGCTTGTTTATATGGTGGATTACGTTCATGGATTTTCGTATGTTGAACCATCACTGCATCCCTGGGATGAAACCTACTTGATCGTGTTGAATGATTGTTTTGATGTGTTCTTGTATCCTATTTGCCAGTATTTTATTGAGTATTTGTGCATCAATGTTCATGAGGCATATTGATCTGAAGTTCTCTTTCTTAGTTGTATCTTTGTGTGCTTTGGGGATTAAGGTTATTGAAGCCTCATAGAAAGAGTTTGGCAAAGACCCTTCTGCTTCTATTGTGTGGAATACTTTGAGAAGTATTGGTATAAGTTGTTCTTTGAATTTCTGGTAGAATTATGCACTGAGGCCATCTGGACCTGGACTTTTTTTTTGGTTGGGAGACTTTTGATGACTGCTTCTATTTCCATAGGGGTTATAGGTCTATTTAAATTGCTTATCTGTTCTTGATTTAGTTTTGGCAAGTGATAGCTATCCAGGAAGTATTCCATTTCCTTTAAATTTTCGATTTCTGTGGAGTACAGGTTTTTAAAGTATGACCTGATGATTCTCTGGATTTCCTCAGAGTCTGTTGTTATGTCCCCTTTTTCATTTCTGATTTTGTTAATTTGCATGTTCACACTCTGCTGTTTAGTAAGTTTGGACAAGGTTTGTCTATCTTGTTGATTTTCTCAAAAACCAACTCTTCGTTGCATTGATTGTTTGTATTGTTTTCCTAGTTTCTACTTTATTGATTTCAGCCCTCAATTTGATATTTCTTGGCGTCTACACCTCCTGGGGGAGTTTGCTTCTTTGTGTTCTAGAGCTTTCTGCTGTGCTGTTCATTCTCTAGTATAACTATTCTCCAGTTTCTTCATGTGGGCACTTAGTGCTATGAACTTCCCCTGTAGCACTGCTTTCAAAGTGTCCCATAGGTTTGGGTATGTTTTGTCTTCATTCTCATTGAATTCGAGGAAGTCTTTGATTTCTTTTTTTATTTCTTCTTTGACCCAGCAATGGTGCAGTTGAGCATTATTCAATTTCCATGAGTTTGTAGGTTTTCTGCAATTTGTGTTGTAGTTGGACTCTAATTTTAAAGCATGGTTGTCTGATAAGATGCGTGGAGTTATTCCAACTTTTTTGAAGCTGCTGAGATTGGATATGTTGCCAAGTATGTGGTCGATTTTTGAGAAGGTTCCATGTGGTGGTGAGAAGAAAGTATATTCTTTTTTATGTGGATGAAATGTTCTATAGATATCTGTTAATCCCAGTTGGGTCATTACTTCTATTAGACCCTTTGCTTCTTTGTTGTGTTTCTGTCTGGTATTC